AATTGTTAAGCCTGACTGAGAATCAGTGGGAAGTCTTAAAAATGTTGATGTTTCTGTCAGGGCCCATTCACGGTAAAGATTCTAATTCAGTATGAGATAGGACCCAATAAACTGTAGTTGGAAAGAAGGCCCCAGGAGTCCCTGATGATCAGCACTAAGGATGTGCACTGGTCTAGGTGCTATGGGGATAGCTATTAAGAAGTTTAGATAGCTTAGCAAATCTGGATTTGGTGGTATAAATCAGTGGTTCTTAAACTTTTTTGAACTAGGCTTTTTAAACACACCAATGTTACCATGGCCCCTGTGCCCTAATTATTAATAATAACGCTAAGTGTTGTGGTAAGTAGATGCCAAAACTGCAGTTCACTTAATATTCAGAGAATGTATCATTCGGACAAGGTTTAATCAGTTCTGCTTGGTTGGGTGGCCTTCCACATGCATTCAGGGACGCGGGCTGCCCCTATCTTCTGGCCCTGCCCTTCTCAAAGATCCCCACTTAGTTAGCCTGGGGCTCAACAAACTAGTTCAGTAAACTGCCAAATAATAAATATCTTTGGCTTCGGCCTTGTTGACCCTACAGTCTCTGTTACAACTACTCAACTCTACCGCTGTAGCACAGAAGGACCCGCACACCAATGGGTAGGCTGGGCCCCACTGAAACATTATTTATAAAAGTAGGCAGCAAGCCAGATCTGGCCCCCGAGCCCTGTTTGCCAACCCCCCGGTCTAAGGTACTGAGGAAGAGAGGCAATACTGATGACTGCACAGGACGTTTTCAAGGTCAGACCTGGAAGTGGTAGACATCTCTGCTGCTAACTCTTCAGGAAGCTAACTCTTCAGGAACTTCATCACATGTCCCCACCTAAGGGTCTAGCTGCGTCTCTGTTTGAAAAATAAAAAACAGGGCATCTTGTTTGGTGAACACACCCACCATTTCCACATTCCATTGGAAGACCAGCCCAGTGTTAAAGAAGAAATGGCTATGAACAATTTTTAAAAAATGGTATAACAAACAGGGGTTTTTTTGTTTTTGGAAAATTATATACTGCTGATGCAGACACACATGACTTTACAAATTGTGGGGTGAACCACACAACATACTAGTTGATACTGATAATGCCAAACTACTTGTGATTTGTCATTAAAAAGCAAGCGGAGCAGCGATTTTAAATCACAAACAACTCGATACCCATCATAAAGCGATGGAACATTTTCCTGAAAATGACAGGAATCCCAACTACACTTTCCAGGCCATCTGCAGGAGGACTTCCGCCGCATGCCAAGTGCAGACGGCATCCAGACTGTTTAGAAGTGGCCCAGACCACAAACTCCATGCAGCGCACTCACCGCACTCCATTCAGCTTCCTCTGGGTCCATCGCTGGGCTGGCTTCTTCCCTGGCTGCCCTGAGGTTGGGACATGACTTTGCGCCAGTCAAGGGGACACATGCAGGAGGGACACACAGCACGGCTGGGCCTGGCACATAAAGGTGTGCTGTGTGGGACCCTCCACTCATTCTGCCTGCCACCCAACCTTGCAGACAAGGTGGTAAATGGTGGCAGAAGAGAGGAGGAGCCTGGTTCTGAAATAACGGGGTGGCACTGAATGGCTGCAAGGGAACAAAACACTGGTGTCCCTCGTCCCCGGCATCATGAGTCAGGTGGCAGCAACACGGAGCAATAGGCGATAAGCCACTGAGATCTGGGGTTCTTACATTACAGTTGATAACGTGCCTAACACTGAGTTCTTAAGAAACTCCAGAAAATGTGCTAGTTAGGGTATGCATATTACATTTCAGAAGTCCTTTAAACTCACGTAGGTTCTGAATAATGCTTAGTCGTACACAAAAAATGCAGGTAGTTGCCTTTGTGGCTGTCTCCAGCGTCCCAGAGGATCTCCATCTCTGCAGCCCACCCTGGGCTAGGAGAGGAGACTAAAGGAATAAAAGCACGTTTTAGGAAATTGGTCTGCTACCTTGTGTGTTCATCATTCAAAAATGTCTTTCCTAACACCTGTTACCTACCAAGCATCAGGCTGGAGATTCAGGGCAGAAAGTTGAACGGCATGCAGGCACTGCCCTCAAGCTGTCCACGGTGGTGGGAGGGAAAACCTTGACCGCTCTAGATTAGCGAATGATGGGATGTCCATAAAAAGTAAGACTTAGGTAAGAAAATGCTGCAGCACATGGACGATTACCCCTCCCCACGTCCCTAGCAAGAGCAGGCTGGGCTTGGGAGAAGAGGGGCAGGAAGACCAAGGAGACTGCGAATTAGTGTCTGCAAGGAAGAGGGTTTCAAAGAACCCCGGTCTTTGTTGGAGGAATCCAACAAAACGCTGATTCATTTCTCCTCTCAGTTTGATGCAAGACTGTAGGACCCATTCCAAGAACCGAAGCAAAGTATGGTATTTGTGGTTTACAAGGTGATTTCTTCGGGTGGATGTCACTGTTTCTTTACTAAGAAATATAAACCCTTGACATCTCAGCAAGTGTTCCTTGGTCCTTTCCAGTTGTCTGGAGTCACGAAGGCTCTCCAGTTCTAATCCTACGCTACGCATGTGCGGGGCAGTAGCACGGTATCCCTGCACCCGCGGTCACAGGTGAGCCCGCGACGTCACAAAAACACGATCCAGTTCCACAGCTACCTGGCTTAGCCTCAGCTTTGCTCGGCATTCTTGCGGACACGAGTCACGAGAGTCCAGGAGACTCAAAACAGATCGATTTAGCACGGCTGGAAAAAATAACCCAGAGCACATGTCCCAGTGATAGGAAGGAGTCTGTAGCTTCAAAAGCGCACTTGGTTGAGATATTAATGTGAGAAATCGAAAATGTCTCCTATCACTGAGGGCGGATGTCGGGACGAGAAACGGGAATGGACTGCTCCCTAAAGACAAAACTGCCCAGACCGTATTCTCCAAATTCCACTGGAGATAAAGCTGCTTTCTGGAAGTATGAACTGCATTCTCTTCCTAGATCTACTTATTGTCAATCCTTCTCTTTTACACTATAAATTAGAGCAACCCGCGACCCTTTTACTGCAAATGTACTAAACTTAACACAAACGTGGTTTTTACAGAGGAAGGAGGACTTCCCAGGAACCTATATGGTTCTCATCCTTACACCTGGCATCTCAAAGACTATGAAGAAGAGAAAGACTTAAAATTTTTAAGTCTTGGTTTTTGTTTTTTTTGACTCGCTTGCAAGCATTTTATGCATATATCAAGAAAGAGCTCTAATTTTGATAGAAACAGCATTTGTACTGAAATCCCCCAAACAAAGCCTAAATCTGGCAAAATGCCACACTCACTTTTCAAATCTGTGGCGGTCCATGTAAACAGCCCAAGTAAAGGGCAATTAAAGAGCTGAGGACACTTATTTTTCCACATGCCACCATAACTTACAAATATTATTTTCCTATCATTTCCTATTTTTCCTGCCTTTGACTCTAAAATTATATAAATTATCCAATCTCTACGTTCTCTCAGACAGTTGTTTTCAATTATCATCTTCTTCAAAAAAAAGTTCAGTGAAAGCAGGGAGAAGCAAATATATTCCTCTTTACTCCTGTAATTTAGGACTTCAATACAATATACTATGTAAAATCCCAAGATCAAATATTTGAAAGCAGCCTAACAAAACAACGGACTCCTCAATAAAATGTTAATTCCACATGATAAAAACATATTTCTTTGGAGTGTAGTTTATAAAGAAAACTGAACAATACTTTGTAAAGCCATGGCAAATATTTATTGCTAAATGAAAGAAATACCTTGGAAATGTTAAATGCCTACTTTAACACATCGTTAGGAGATCGGAAGACAGGAGAGTCCGGGTGCTTGTTAATACTTTATTTTTTTGTGTATAGTGGGGCAAAACAAAGCACTGTTTTTGAATAAAATGTGATATGACAGTATATAAAACATAACTACCATTCCCGGGTTCCCTATTTGGGCCCTGGCTTCATACCATGTACCTGATTTATAATTTATCATCACCAGTCCTACCAAGTAGGTATTCTTTTCCTGGTTTCAAAGATGGAGACGGTGAGGTTTATAGATGTCACAGAGGCAGGGAGCCAGGGCTCCCTCTCAGCTCTTCCTTCTATACATTACTGCCTTGAGGGAAAACTTCTACATCCCAAGACAAACACTCTACGATACTATTCTATAACTGCTTAGGATTCCAACCAATTCATCTTAGTCTTTGCTTAAGGTTTCTTTATCAGCTGTTGCAGAGTGTACTTCTGCAAAATCCATACTCTCACTTAAAGGTATACTCGTAGTTCCGACTTGTACTAAGAAATAAGAAGAGTACTGTTATATACATTACTGAGAACTCAGATTTTGAAAATCTAATCTTTATCATTACCATGAGAGCAATTATTCCTAAGACTACAAGTCATCATATAGATACACTTTGATATATTTACAGTACCCACAAGGGTCACAAAACTCCAGTAAACATTCACAAACAAAAGCTACTTCTAAAGAGCTGTTTGGTAAAGATAGTTGACATCTACTATGAAAACCAGTAATACTTAACGTGAGCCAGCATTTCTTAAAGAATAGCCCATGGGTTGCTATTGGCCCAATAATCCTCTCCAGAGAGCCCATGAACTAATCCCTGGAAGATGATATCTAGAAACACAACATATCACCTAAATTTCTGGCTTGAATTAACACCCACTGGTGATTCACTCTCGCCATGCCTCATCAAAAGCTCTGCTGCTCTCTTCATAAGTTTCGGTGAGTTTCTGGCTCACTTAAGTAGAAAGAGACGAGGGTAGGGATTAAGAATCTTTTATCCTTCTAAGATAAAAAGTTCAATTCCAAAGATGTATGCAACGTTGCCTGGCTCCTTAATTAATTATAAAAATAAGATAAGAATTTTGTTCAAGTCAAATAAAAGGAATTCAAAACATTCATGTATTTTAAAAGGGATATTTGATACTTTAAAGTACAATATTTTTCAAAATAGCCCAACTTCCCCCATGTTAGGCTTACCTTGAAGATGGCATTATATTTGAAGCCCTGAATTTTGTTGTAAACGGATTAGTCGACTCATAATCAAAACAGTCCTGACGATTTTCACTAAATGCATTGGGTGATTTCAAGTCACAAGGGCTATCAGATCCCCCATTGTTAAGTTTATCAGATCTTCTGCTATCTTTTTTTCCAGTCACTCTTTCAAACAGGCTAACTTTCTCCCTTTTCTCCCTTTTGTTTTCTTTCCTTACTTCAACAGATTTTGAAAACAAATTCACGCTGCTGTCCCAGGATTCACTGCTTTCTTCAAATGGATTCTTCTTCCTTGGCAGTGTTGCAAATTTTTGGGGTAATGAAGCAGTCACATTTGTAAATGGGTCATTTTGTCTTCCGAAAGACGATTCACCTTCATCCACACTGCTGTCAGGTTGGTTCATTTTAGAAGTATCAAAGCTTAATGTTCTTCTGTGTGGAGATTTGAGACTTCCTGCAAACAATTTTGTAGTCAGGACATAATCAGTGACACATTACATCACACTACTTGACACATTCTGTGTGCACACTGCTGCTTTTAGAACGAGAGCAATTAGCTATTTAAAGATATTAACCTTTAAAATAACCAAGGAAAACAATCTTAAAATGCTAAAATACAGCAGTCTGGAGTGGGTAGGCTATTAATAATTAGCATTTTGCTAGACAATCAGTAATTTACTTGGTTCAGAAAGAAACAATCATATAAACACGCTATCATGTCAAAACCAGAAGTTCTGGTGGGCATGAAGGTGCTATTATTTCTCAAAGACTTTTTTCGTCCTCAGGATTAAATATACCTTCCTACTTCTGAACATGCAAGGTTGTTGTTGGTTTTTTCCCTAGGAACTTTCTGATTAAATGGAATATTCATTTACGTTTCAGGCTTTCTTCAAGACTGAAGAAACAGCATTAAAAAAAAAAAACAAAAAACAAAAAGAATCCAGACTATGAAAAGCAACTTATTTTTGTTAGCACCTGACATAAACACAAAACACGAATGCGGACGAGTTCTGCCGTTAATACACATCGATTGTGAGTGTAGTCGGCACTCAACAGAGATTTGATAACTAAGAAGCTATCACGAACTTGCAATTTTTTAAATTTTCTAATTGGCTAAGCAAAACTTTGAAAATTAAAAGGGTGGTTCGGATCACTGAGGGCTCTATTAGACAGGGTCACCTACCACTTTCTGGAACCGCTCCGAAGGAATCTATCTGGCGTCCGAGAAGATGCGTTTGACCGGTGGTGCCAGACTTCAGTTTCTCAGAAGATATGTGGGTCCCAGTCAAATCAGACATTGAATGTGCTGAAGAGAGTCGCTGAGGACCCAAAAGGAAAGGCTTTTTTGGTTTGGATTTCATCTGCATTTCACCACTTGAAAACTCAGTACTGGCATCGGGCATGTGGGGACTTGGAATGATCGCAGAAGACGTATCAGAAAACGTCCCATCGTTTTTTCTACCTTTCATCTTATCTTTTAATTTTGCAAAAGGAGATCTCGTTTTGTCCTTCATTGATAAGTCAAACATACTTGCTGTCATATTGTTCCTCATGAATTGAATATTGACCTTTATCTCACCCCTGTGTTTGGCTCTCTTTCCTTGTTTGGATTCTAATCTAAACCACCTTAAAGAGAAGGAAAAAAAATGGGTTGTAACATGTAACGAAGAGAGGATATGTGCTTGTTATGTACAAACAGCTGCTCAGGTTAAGCTACTACAGATCAAGGCACTCTAAGCATGATGACTAGTACGTGTGCATCTGATCGGAGTGTTGCTAATGGCCTAGGAACATGTTTGGATGTTAAAAGACACTGAGGTAACGACTACTCAAAGAATTCATCAATACGAACTACTTTGGAGAGCTATACAATGATAAAGGATCACATTTTTAAGGATTAAATATTTAGCTCCAACCATCCAAACAGTTCTTCTATAAACACTGTGGAAAGAATGTTGTTAATATTGGAGACCACTGCATTGGAGAGTTCGCTAGTCGTGAAAATTACATACGACGTGAATTTAGATTCCTATGAACTGGGTCAAAGCCTTCTCCTGAATAAAGTCTGAAAAATGTGTACAACATAGGAAGTGACAATTAGTAGTAACTCTTGTAAAGTTTTTGAAGAAAAAAGAAAGCTTAAATGCGCCCGGTTAGAACGGACTTGCTTCGTTCGCTACTGCCACTGTAACGCCACCAAATAAAAGTTCTTATACTTGGAGCCAAATCTTATGCTTTTAGTCAGTTGGCTGAACTGCCCTGCCCCCTGTCGAATGCTGTTCCAGGGGTCCTCCTTACCCGCGGCTTCCCTTTGCACGGCCTGTTACCCGTGGTCAACTGCCTTCTGGAAGCAGATGATCCTCCTGGTGTAGCTTCAGAAGGTCAGGAGCAGCCTAACGCTAGGTCACAAAGCCTACATCGCTCCCCCCCCCCCCCACTTTGTCTCAATAAGGAGGCGTTTTATCATCTCACATCATCACAAGAAGGATGATTACAGGGCCAGAAGAGATGTGAAGAGCAAGACCCCGTTCACATCACTTTTATTACTGGCTATGTTATGTTCTATTGTATTAATCTCTTTACTGTGCCTAATTTATAGCTTAAACTTTATGCCAGGTACATATGGGGTGAGGGAGGGTTACTAGCCACAGTTTCCGGCAACCACTAGGGTTCTGGAACGGACTCTCCGGTGGATAAGAGGGGGCTGCCATATAAGAGAGGCAAAGTTTATTTTGGTTATGCTCATTCATAGTACTTGTATCCATGAGGAAGCCTCCAGTTGCAGAGTTATAAGTGGTCATTCTACAGGAAAAACAGCCCCCAAAATTGCAAAATCGAACCCAGAAGAAGTTCCTACAGTGTTTTCCCATTACTTAACAATGGAGCATAAACTGCATGCTGGCTAGTACTTAAATACAGCTCTAATCAAGTGTAACAAATTTTCTTAGCTACAAAGGAACTCTGCTCTAAGTTTACATTAGTACTTTCTCTCCTTGTTACTGAGAAGTTACCCAAGAAGCAGCTTATGTTTACTAGACATCAAGTGGAAGACTGGGTCACAGGTCTCTCCAGGCAGGAGAGAAACTTAGCATATGTGCACGCAAGAGAAATATCAATGAAGAGTATTTTCTTCATTAAGTTGAGGCATTTCAATCAATTAAGATTTAGTTGCATCAAAGCAAGCAATTTTTTACAACAAAATATTTTATAAAAGAAAGCCTCAATCAGAGACCTAAACTGAGAAAAGCCCTCGAAGCCAACGGTGAAATCTGAAGACACAGGGACTAGAAACACGAAATGACAGCAATAAACTCTGTGGAATCGAGAATTCAGCACTTGAAAAGCCTGGAAATAAAACATGGTTATGGACCCAGTTATGAATTTCCAGTTTGGGAAAATAAAGCCATTTTCAATGGTGGAAAAATGCGTCTGATGGGGGGGGGGCACGTGGGAAATATTCTGTAACATCTCAGGCTTTACACAAAATAAGTGAATACACTTTGCAAGAAATGTTCTGAAAACCAAACAAGAAACCTAAGCATGTAGGTCTCCTGTATGTAACAAATCAAAGCAAATCTGAGAAAAAAAAAAGAAACCAACAACCCAATAAATGGAAGACAGTGAGCATAATCAAACCTCACAGAATTTCAGAGAGAAGACCAAACCAATCATCTAATTTAATATCCATTTTTCATAGATGAAGAAATGGAGGCACAAACAGTGAGTGACTTCCCAATGTCAGATTAAAGTTCAATAAGGAAAGCATCCAAGTGCATGAACGACATCTGCATGAAAACAGTTGTTCTTCCCCATGTGATGAACCACACATGTTAATACCATTAAAGGCAGCGCTGGCCACGTGTTACAGGATGCTATATTTAACCAGGAGACAGCGGCAGCCAAAGAGGAAGCGACGCAGGTTTTCTATTGCTAGAGGGTAAGCTACTTGAAGACAGTCTGCCTGGCACTCAATAAATGCTTACTGAATATTTTTTTCTAAAACTGTATTTTTCACACAGCCAGGCTACAATTCTGGGTGTGAGTGTGTGAGTGTCGCATTGTTTTATTTTATGGTAGGGAACACTAAAGACTTAGGTAAGCTTTAAAGAATCAAGCAAGTCAGTATTTGAGTACCAACTATAAATACAGTTTTATTTTCCATCCTCCCCCCCTTCAAGAAAAAAAAAAAACCTGCAAAGCACTTCTAGCGAATATAAAAACTTAAAATTTAGGCATGACAAATAACTTTGGCTGCTTTGTTCTGAAAGTGATATAATGGGGAAGTCTTAATGAGGCCTTCAAGAATCATTCCAGAGATAGCACTTATTTTCCCAGGCTTCCAACAGATAAACTGAAGACACAGCATTTGGGGCTTAGTGGATTAATGCTGGGATTTTTTTCACCTCTAGAGTACTGGATTTCCACTGTGTATGGCCTCTGTTCAATTTTTAGTGGGCACAGGCCTGTGTTCAAAAACCACCACACATGTGGGAACTATTCCCAAGCAATCGGTGCTGTGTGGTCAGAAACAGGAAAGATTGGCAGGAAGGGTGCCAGGGGCCAGGACACAGGTGCTCTGCAGAGACTCACACAAAAGTCCTAAAATCTGCATGTGTTTGAGCCATACCCAACTCTTGGGACTCTGATTGTTATTACTTTTCATGAGCATTAAAAAAAAAAAAAAAAAATCAACATCACCCAGTTCTGTTGTAAAAAAAAAAAAAAAAAAAACGATATTACATAACAGCAGGAATGATTTTACCATTCTATTATTAAACATTGTATTATTTCCTTAAATCTTGTGCCAGAACCAACCCAGACACCCATAAAAGTGGGAGATACAGAAGTGCTCTTTCCATGCCCTACTCAAAGTGTTCTGGCTCAGGCCCTTTCCAGAGAAGAAAAGAGAAGAGAAGAGAAAAGAGAAGAGAAGGGAAAAAAACAAAAGAAAGGCATTTAATTTCAAATTCTAAAAATACGTAAAAAATAGTTCTAGCCATCATACTTCTTTGCCTATCATGACACAACTGGAAGACAAGCTGTAAATACTTGTCTTCAGTGTCAAGGGTAGAAAGTGTCACACCCAGCAGCTTCATGGGACTTCTAAATCAGCTGGTAGCCTTCATCACTCATACCGGTTTTCTAAAAAGCACTTGGGGATATGCCGACAAGGCTCAGCACTGTGCAGAATATTAAATCTCTTTCCTGCAATACACCGGTGGCTCAAGTTCATCTCTTACTGTGCCACGTGCACAGCTGTGCTGGAAAAGGAAGCTATTAAATATATTAAAAAAACTAGAAATATTACCAATAAAGATATCTCACCAAATATGTGGTCTTCATTTATCCACAAAGAAAATGGGATTTAATAACATATGAAAATCACTTCGCATGCAATAACATCACAAGCGCCGTTGATAACATTTAAAAGCATTTTCCCCTTGGAAGTTCTAATCAATTTTATATAGTGGCCAACAGAGAATTTCTGTAGGGAGAGAGTGTTGCTTATGGTCAAATTTACTGTAATGCAGATGCTGCCAAAGATGAAATGTAAACTGAGAAGGAACTTTAAAAGCTTAGTTCATTCCCTGAATTTCTGGATTCACAGTTGGGCCTACTTTCGCTCAGAAAATCTATTATCGGAGAGAAGGCCTGAAATACGTCATTCGGTAACATAAAAAGTGCCAACAATGCAGCATAAAATTTCAAGTTATAATACACTTAGAAGTTTATATTTGAAGCACTTTAAATATTATAGAGTAAGTGGCATCCAGAGTTGGTGATGTGAAACAAATTTGGTGATTATCCATTTTTCAGTTTAAATTTGATGAAGAACTCCTCGGAGGGAACTGAATACCACTTTGCAGATATCATACGGTCATCAACATCACTGATACTCAACTTTACATTTTTTAAGCCCTTTCTCTTTTTCTTAGAATATTGTTATCTCTTGATTAGTTTAAATGTTTACCATTTTTCCTCGTGCATTCCTAGTACTTCTCTCTCTCCCCTTTTGCCCTTCACACATTAAATCTTACATATAGTTCTGATTTAAAAACATTTTTTTAGTAAAAATAAAAACTCCAACCTAGAAAAGCCTGCAGGAAGATGTGTATACTTCAACACGGAATACATACCTAAGTACTAAATACTAAGACACGGTTGTTCTAAAATATAAGAAGTTAACACGAACCTCAAGAAAGTTATGCTTGTACAAAGCTTTTAAAAGGGCAAATAAATTTCAGTTATGACTGAAACACCAAAGCTCTTTTGGAAACTTTCAGTCCTCTTATAAATTCAACCTATATTTTTTTCCTCATTCATTCCATTAACCTTAAGGGTCTCTGATATCAGAATAATTCTATCAGAAAAAGAATCCAGTGTTGATTTATATTATCCTTTTTAAAATGAGACCATTTCTATCCTAAGCTTGCAAGTCACAGGTAAAAGGTCATGTTTTCATTGAAGATGTCCTCAAATCACTTCACCAGAAGAACTGAATCGTTGCCTCCAATCTGAGAGCATTTCACAGGCTCTAACCATGCTGACTGATTCCGGAGTAACACACTACCTCCAGTACATTGTGTTTTCAAAGAAAAATGTTAGCGTGTATTGAAGGTTGAGACTGTTTGTACATACTTTTAATTTTTTCTTTTAACAGCTTTAGACTCCACCAAGACGTACCGACCTTTAAGATGGTGGAGCTAAAATAAAGGCCAAGTGTGTTTCTAAAGCTGAAAGGGAATAGTGAGCTCTAAATTTGGTAAATTTTCTTCTGACAGCCTCAGAGCTCGATATGTGACCTTATATTGGAAGATTTCATTTTCTGATGTACAATTTCCTGGCAAACTGTAACGTTTAATGATTATAACAATTTACACATACTTTAAGTTTTACTTGGTCAATAGGAGGTGATCCAGTCCTCCTATGAGTAGTGAAACAACGTAATTTACTTAAAATTCAATGCAAAATATTCAATGATTTAAGATGTTAACCTTACACAAAAATGAGAGAGGAACCGATCATTAACGACTCCATTTAAAAAAATACTGCTTCACAAGGGCTATTTTTACTTCAGATTTGTGCAAATGCGGTGCCTAAAACTAGGTCATATTTCAGTCCAAAAACCCACGCCCCAGTTATACAAATAATTTCCAAGAACAGAAAATCCATAAAGAAGATATAGTTAATCTCCCCCCGAATTCAAAATAAATTATATAACTTACTCTGTTTTCCTTCTTTGTTTGTCCTCAAAGATGTCATTGAGATTGATTGCCACCTGCCCTAAAAACTTATCCAGACCCACCAGGGACCTGTGCATAACTATAAGGAAAAGAATGTATTTCTCTGGATTCCCCTGCATTAGCAATCCAGGTAGCTCAAAAGAGGCCTCTTCCTTCCAGACCGGCTCAAGGGTTTTCTCAGCTACAGAGGTGGAGTACTTTTCCTTGCCCAGCTGAATTATAGTGTATGTGTCATTGGTGCCACTTTTGCCTTTGGGCTTAAGATCTTTGGCTTGGAGCACTGTGACCTGCACGTGGGTAGGAAACCACTTTTGGGCTTGCTCGGACAGCATCATTCTGTCCTTCTCTGCACCGGGCTCTAAAGCGCAGGCAGTGCCCCTCCCGGAGGGAGAGCCTAATTCCTTAATCACTGCATCCTAAGGACACTTAACGGCGATGGGCAAACTCACGGCTGCCCAACTTCCCCCGGGTTCACTGTCAAGCGCCCGGCCGGGGCAGCCCGGGGGCACGGCTGCTCTGGGGGTGCCCTTGCCGCCGCACAAGCGCAGGGGCCCACCATCCCCTGGCCGCGCGGCCCAGGCCTCCGCGCGGACCCCCGCGCTTGGCGTCCGCACCTTCACGCGCCGCCGGCCGCGGGGACTGGCCCTGGGCGGCGGCGGGCGGCTCCCGGGCCTGCGGGCAGGAGAGGCCTGGCCGCCAGGGCCCCGCGGAAGGCTGCGGGGGTGGGAGGGCGCCCCCCGCCCGGCGGACTAGAGCTCGCCCGCCCCAGCTCGCGGCCCCCAGCCCCCCGCCTGCCTCCGCGCGGCCGGGCCGCCCCCGCCGCCTCCGCACCTCCCGCCCGCCCGCGCAGGCCGGCGGGCCCGGCCCGGCTCCTCCTTCCGACCCCGGTAATACGAACCGCCGGCGGCTCGCGCGGCCTGGCTCCCTCTCGCAAACCTCTCCCTTTCCCTCCTCCTCCTCCTCCCCCCTCCCCCTCGCCTCGGCTCCTCCTCTCGGGCGGGGGCGGGGGCGGGTCGCCTGGCCGTGGAGCGGGACGGGGGACGGGGGACGCGGCCGCCCCGGCGCCGGCGGGCCGAGGGCTGCAGGGCGGCGGGCACGGGGCTCGGCCTCGCCGGGCCGGCAGCTCCTAACACCCGGCGGGCGGCGGCGGCGGCGGCACTTCCGGGTTGGCCTTCTCCATGTTGATCTCGGGAACGCGACGGGGCGGGGCTGGGCGGGGCCGCGGGGTCAAGGGTCAGCGCCTCCCTGGTTGCCGTGGCGACCGGGGGCGCGCGGCGCGGGCTCCATGCTCATCGCTGAGTGCTCCTGCTGGGTTTCGAGCCCGCTCCTGCGGCCTGGCGAGGCGCTGGGGACGTGGGCACCTGCACGGGGCGCCAGGGGGGCTCTGGGGAAGCGAGGGAGCGCTCCTGAAAGGTGACAAGCAAAGCCCGGGCCTCCCCGATCTAGAAGGAGATCCAGTTTTACAATTTGGAAACTGGGTTTTGGGTGTACCCTGATGTACCCAGGCACCTAGCACCTAGCAGATGTTAGATAAATGGTGGTGGGATGCATGGGCCCTATGCATTGACCGAAAACACACTTTTCCCCGACCCCTTATCCACTCTTCCCAAATTCACTGGAAAGATATTTCCCACCCTCCACCTCAATGGAAGAAGGGAGGGAAGCCGATAAAAGCTTCCAGAACCAGGACAGGAATTAATGAAGATCGCGAGTGACGCTGGACTGGAGTCAAAGACCTGGTTTTACCCCCACGGCTGCTACCATCACCCTGTGTGACCTTGGACAAGTCATTTCCCCTCCCTGAGCCCCTGTTTTTTCAAGGGTGAGAAGACTGTCTAAGGCCCCTGGCGACTGTGTGGGTCAGTGTCAAAAGGACACCTTTCCGGGCTCAGTCTGGTAGACTATCCTACTTGGGAAGCGAAACCCAGAGACGATTCTCCTTCACCAAGGGCGATAGACTATCGCTTTACCTGCGCCTTAGGGCAAGACCGAAGCACTTGCTTCCAGTGCTGCTGGCATGGAAAGAGTTTTTCTGGGGGGTTTTTGGTTTGTTTGTTTCTTTTGTTTGTTTGTTTTGGGGGGAAGAAAATGGAGATCTGGTAGTGCTGAGCTTTTTGTGGACTAGCCTGATCTAGTGGGGAAAGGATGGGTAATGGCTGATGAGCCTGGAGCCTTCCTTGATGCTCTGCCGGAAATTCACTATAGCGCCTGTGATGGGCCCTTAGCATCCTGAGGCAAGGAACTGAGATGCTGGGAGCCTCCATCTCTTTGTCCATAAATTGTAGATAAAGTGGCTGTTGGATTGTAGATAGATAGCTTTTGATTTGATTTGATTTGATTTGATCACAAATAAAATAGTCTGGAGGAGTATTCTGAGATAATGTACGTTTCCTGGTGTAGTGTGGCATCCAGTCTCCTTTTGCCCCTCTATTTCTCCATTACAAGAGACATTCATATGCTACCTTTATTGTATTTCTTTCTGTTCATGGTTTCCCTTCCCAAGGAAATTCGAAATTCTTTGGATCATTACTTCACGGTGGCTAACATTCAGTTCACACTCCATCTATTGAATGACTCAATGCCTTTTCTCCCTTTATAGGACTAATTTTGAAACCGAAACAATATGATAGATGTGCATATCCTTTTGCAACTTAAAATGGCTGTAAAATGGGGCGCCTGGGTGGCTCAGTCAGTTAAGCTTCTGGCTCTTGATGTTGGCTGAAGTCATGATCTGATGGTTTGTGAGATCAAGCCCCTGGGACTGACAGCAAGGAGCCTGCTCTGGGATTCTCTCTCTCTCTCTCTCTCTCTCTTTCTCTCTCTCTCACACACACACACACACACACACTCCTCTCCTTGCCCCTCCACTCCCCACACGTGTTCTCTCTCTCTCTCTCTCTCAGTAAATACACTTAAAAAAATAAAATAAAATAGCTGTAAAAGTAAGGTATTGTGTTTACTATTTTTAGGCAAGGTTTACAACTTTTCCATTTGAGGACATTATGTTATCCATGTTCCTTAATGTCCCGTGTTTACAGGATACTAGCTGTAGCACTTAAGACTAACGAAAGAAGTCTTTTCATTAAACATTTTTTGAATGGAGGTATGTGAAAGCCTAATATATTTGTATCACCAGAGCAGCCATTGAGAAATTTAAGGACAACACCACAGACCTCAAAGACTACCCAGATTGTAGCACATTCTTTCAGGGACCCACTGACACTTGCTAGTGTCTATAGATTTCTTCTCATTTACTGGAAACTCCCAGTTCTTTAGTGCTGCTTACACACAGTGGCTGGCGTGAGTTCTGCATGAAGTAGGCACTCCAAAAAGAGACACTGGATTGATTTACCATCAAAATATTCAGGGACATAAACTATAGATGAATCTCGAATAATCCTGAGCTAGACACAATCTAGAAAGAAAAGACCTGGTTGTAGGTCATTCTAAAGAAAGCATGCTATAAAAATGTGTTTTTCTTGGGGAGCCTGGGTGGCTTAGTCGGTTAAGCATCCGACTTTAGCTTAGGTCATGATCTCGCGGTTCGTGGGTACGAGCCCCGCGTAGGGCTCTGTGCTGACTGCCAGCTCAGAGCCTGGAGCCTGTTTCAGTCTGTGACTCCCTCTCTCTCTGACCCTCCCCTGCTCACTCTGTCTCTCTCTCTCTCCTAGAAATAAATAAAACATTAAAAAAAAAAAAAAAAGATAGAGAACTTGTCCCTCTCCTCCCAGGACCTTATTAAAAAAAAAAAATGTGTTTTTCTTTATTTTGTTTAATGTTTGCTATTATTGAGATGGAGAGAAACATAGCATGAGCCGGGGAGGGACAGAGAGAGAGAGAGGGAGACACAGAATCGGAAGCAGGCTCCAGGCTCTGAGTTCTCAGCACAGAGCCCGCCGCCGGGTCCGAAGTCTGACGCTCAACCGACTGAGCCCCCCCAGGCGTCCCTGTGGTTTTTTTGTAAAAGTGGGACTTTTCCATCTCTGAGATACAGTGTATGAAAAGGCCATGTATGAAAAATAAAATCACCATCATACTGCAAATATAGCATCTGGATCCCAGAGTGGGCAGCTGTCCACTTTAAAGGAAAATATTCCTAGGGATTTTTAAAGAGTACACTGAATAGTCAATGGTAGAATTTCCACCAAGATCTCCAGGGAGAAGTAATTTGACACTTGAAACTTTCAAAAACAAGATAAACATAAAAACAAGTTTAAGTTCAGAATTTTTTTTATAAATTTGCATTTTTAGAAGTCTTCATGTCTCTATTAAAGGTTACAATTAAATAAACAATAGACAATTAATTATAACAGTGGATGCGTGTTTCTAAAGAGCTTAAGTTGTTTGGTAAGCTTTATTAATGATTATCAACTTGTTTACATGTATCAATTCACTCATCTCTGAAATGTAGCCATCTCTAGGGTGGGAATTGCTAGCCGTAGTTCACAGCGTAGTTCACAGCGGTGCAACAACATACTGCAACACAATTCAAGGAATACTCTAAAGGCAAGAGCTACACACTAGAAGTACTAACATCTCTTCCTGTAACGCCTAAATGTCTTTTGAGTTTTCCCAAAACCTAGCTAGAGCCACACTTGTTTAGATTTACTATCTGGCAAGATTAGAAGTTATGACCTAATGTTTGTAAGCCAGAAGAAGAAAAATAGCATATTTTTTTGGTCCCAAGGAAGCAAATAAGCAATAGCAACAAAAATGAGCTAAAAAGAAGCCAGAATTACATTGTAAAAGCAAAGTGATTTCCTATAAGAAAGTGTTTTTCTTTTTCAATTGTTTATTAAGAGAGTAAAAACATGTCTTTTGGATCTAATATGTGGTTGGCTCCCAGTGGAAAATAATGACAGTTTATATAAGATCCGGGATCAAAGTGGTTCTGTGAAATGTTTATAGTCTTACAGTTTTAAAAATCCTTCTTACTAATTTGAAGATATACATGGGAGGTAATTTAAAAAGGGAGGAAGGTGGGGTGCCTGGGTGTTTCAGTTGGTTAAGCATCTGACTTCAGCTCAGGTCATGATCTCACTGTTCATGGGTTTTGAGCCCCTCACTGGGCTCTGTGCTGACAGCTCAGAGCCTGGAACCTGCTTTGGATTCTGTGTCTCCCTCTCTCTCTGCCCCTCCCCTGCTCGTGCTTTCTCTCTCTCTCTCTCTCTCTCTCAAATATAATAAAAACATTAAAAAATTTTTGTAAAAAAGGAAGAAAGATTACATACATAAGACAACATACCAGAGTTGAAGAGGGTCACTTTTTATTATCCTATGACTAATGATATGTGCAGAAATGTTTAGCATTGGGAAACCAAATACCAGGGCTTGGGAAAATAACACATCTTAAAATGCTGAAATTTCTCATTTTAAACAGTTACAATGCCAGTTGGAATGATTAAGAAAAATTGGATCAGAAAGTAAAGTCACTATTTATTCTCCAATAGTGGAAGATTTCACAGTTTAAAATATTTACTAAGTGCTACACCTTTAAGTAAAATCCCATAGGGAAACTTATTCCAAGCACTGTGAAAGATTCTTCCCTTTGGGCAGCAGCATCTCGAAAATTGCAGCTTGCAAATCTATTGCAGGACAATTACA